TATCTCCTGTTGCTCAAAATTTTCAGAGAAAAATGAAGCTTGAAAATCCCATTTTTTCTGATTGGCTGACTTTGAGAGACTGCACTACATTGGTGACGATGTAAATGAGAAAGGCAATGCCTATTTTGGGATAAGGAACTACATAGTTTTCATGTTTATCAATAAAAGACGTGATACAATAAAGTTGGCAGATACTATTTTGAAATGTCATCTGCCACTGTACACTGCTTTGACTAACCCAGCTGGAGGTTAACCAATCGTGTCAACTGTTCAAGGTTGCTGCGAGCTCATTGGCACAGTTGCAAGCATTTAACCATGGGCCCATCCAATCATATGCACCAGTAGTTCTCTTATGCACGTACGTGCATGTACGTATGTATGTCACCTTAGTATGTGCACTCAAGGTCAACCGGCCAACCGCCTCTTTATACCCTAACTCACACGTGTGTTCACACTTCTGCGATTACTGTCCCGCACTTGGCTCACTTCATTCGCTTCTTACGGAAACCACAAGTTGTTGATTATGTACCCAAACTGTTTTTTTTTTTTTACTTCTTAGTTATAACTACATCTGTTTCTGCACTTATTGAATTTACTTCCCAAATTACCTACTACCGTTTTAGTTGAATTTTTTAAACTTCACTTTTTTGTCTTCGATCCCCTTTTGATACAGTTGCATACATTTTTGGGATCCCTCTAACCTGCCTATGTTTAGACTACATGTATTTTTTGCACTCAAAAAACATTTTGGATGGCGCAGAGCTGCTTTCTTCAGTACAAGAGCAGCAAGAGCAAGTGAAACCACAGAGCAAACTTTGTTGTGCCTTTCTCAGATGGCCTCACACTCTGCTGTCCACATCTCCACAGAAAGTACCGCTGAACGGACTGAAAGGCTGGCATCAGTAGCATCAGTTATGTCATCACAACGTGCTAGACTTTCAACTGAAGAAAGTTTAGTACAGAATTCACAGGGCGCAATACGCGTTTCTAGGGCCAGGGCTTCTGAGTCCCCAACACAGACAATCCTTTGGCGTTAAAGGAATGTCAGCGCTACAGCATGTTCTAGAGCTTTAGAAAGCCCTGAACAAACCAATTTGCGTCGTCTTAGGAGTGCTAGGGCTACAGCATCTTCCAGAGTTTTGGAACAACCTCAACAAACCACTATTCGTTGTTTAAGAAATGCCAGCACTACTGTGTCTGCCAGAGCTTTAGAAAGTCCTGTGCAGACCGTTAATCATTGTTTGAGAAATTCCAGATCTACTGCGTCTGCCAGAGCTTCAGAAAGCCCTGGGGGTACGACGAGCACAGCTCAACAACAATGGCCAAATCGCAAGGACAGATGCTCAGCATTGCAGGTCTGCATTTAGGTGAACAGTGTTTCACCCATGGATAGCTTTATGTATGCTGCTCCCAAGTCGGGAGTAAGGATAACATTTACATTCACTCTTCAACAAACAAAGCTAAAAATATTACCTATGCAGAAGTCCCATGGTCGGTCACGTTTAAACGCAATGTACACATCTTTATGTCAGCTCCATCGTAGGTTCCTTCATTTTTGAACCCACTTTATTTAAAGGTCATTGTAGTATCTACTTGCCATTACTAAGACATTTCATTAAAGGTTGTCTTGCTCACCAGATGCTCCCTTATCACTTAAACCCCACCATAGCTGTATTCGCACTTACATGTCGACCACGTAACCATATTCAGTTACAACACAAAACCAATACGTGGGAAAAGTGGATTTGTTTAATGGTCAGAGAAGTCGAGTGCGTCCAAGCAATTCAGACCTCAGCAAAAAGAAGTGGGATAATAAAAGAATAGCAGCATGCAGAGTTATAATATGCATTCTCTGCCGTACACCGTTGGTGTGTTTCTCCCCTTACTATAAGGGCTGCTTTAGGTAATGCTACATGCGCTTCATGCTTGCCTCAACTGGCTATTAAAAACTACAAAAAAATTTGTGCCACTTACAAGTACTCACCCTGGCACCTTCCCATACTTCTGTTTGCAGTAGTGGCAGTGCCATCTTTTGGGCAAAAGACGTGCCTACCTTTCACACTATTGCGTTTTACTATGTTGCAACTGACACAGGGCTTCATGTAATATCTTGCACTCAGGGATAATAAAACCATCCTATCAGAATGCAAAGTCATCTGCCACAACTCACCAAAAAACTTCCTAAGGCCTGTTTCATATTGAACTCGACAACTTTTAATTGGAGGTCTCTTAGTAATGGCAAACGGCTGATGCTACCATGGCTGTCCATTGCTTCCTTTTAAGCCTTACAATTTTTTCTTCTGTTGTGCTGATGAATACCAACAACTTGTGTACATTGTTTTTTTACGTAGGTGGCCATCAATTCTAATAGACTTCAGTCTTACATGCATGTACAAAATGAGTATGGCGCTTATGACATTCCATTCAGAGGAAGTTTACTCCCGGGCAATGCGGGGCTTTGCTGCTAGTATATATATATATATATATATATATATATATATCAATGTTAAATCATATAGAGTATGTTTGATTTTTCAATGTTCATGAAGAATATTTTATTTAAAATTCTAAACTAAAATCAGTATTCTTTTTTGATCATATGGTATTTCTAAAAAAAAAAAAAATGAAATTTTAGAATGAAGCTAATCTAATTTTCTTACTGTAATTGATAACATTACTATTCTTGATAATCAGTATAGATGGTCAAAAGTACTCTAGTAAAAACATTACAAACTTTGGATAGTTTCTCGATAAATGTGACCTGGACTTGCAGCAAACTGGAAAAATGTAATAAAAAGTTAAACAGAACTTATTTACATTCTTTGGACTGTTGTCCTCATCTTTTTTGCTATATTCACAATGTTTCGGCCATTGTATGCTCTGGCTTTCTTCAAGTGATTGGAATTTCGAACTGAACCCTATTTCGTCCACTGGGGTAGATTGTTCTAGTTCTACATGCCATACCTCTTCCAGATGTCTCAGTTATCTTCCTTTAATTCAACTCTCCAAATTTTTTTTCACTACTGCAGTAGTCAGATATTGAACACAAAACTCATTGGGTCAAGTTACTAGATCAAACAATACTTTTATCCACTAGACCATGTGTCCCATAGGAAGAAGGCTGGAGCATACAATGGTTGAAATGTAAATATAGCAAAAAAGATGAGGACAACAGTCCAAAGAATCTAAATAGTGAAAATAATTACAATACCTCATCTCAGAGATATAGACAGAATTTTCTGTTGATTTCAATAAAACAGGTTATATATATATATCTCCATTCTAATTTTGATTCTTTGTTTTCCTAATTAGAAGTTCATATTTGAAAAGAATTTAACTCATTTTCTTTTATTCTAATCTTTTTTCTTTCATTTTATTTGATGAATTTGTTTTTGCTAAATCTCTAAAATCATTTGACAGGTCTTCTCTATGCCAAACTGATGTTTATCTTCTGCAATCATTCTCTCCATTATATTACTGTTGCAATTTTTGACTCCTTTGCATTATTCAAATTTTACAATTTCTCATTATTATAAAACAAAATGATAATGATTAATTGAATCTGTCTGCAGTGCATAATATTTAAATAAAAAAAATCTTGTTTTTTGCCATTTTTTATATATTTCTGCATTTTTTAAAACATTTTCAGTATTATTTTCATTTATTTTATTCTTTCTTAATTTCCTTTTGATTCTTTTCATCAGTTTATTTATCTAAAGAAAGGTTCTTTATGTATGAAATTTATTGCACAAATCAATAAACTTAGGTTATAAAATTTAACTTTATGGCATTATTACATCTTTTTGTTGAAAAGAATATCATCCTTAAAATCCACTGTCTCCAATTATCCTATAAATTTTAATATTCAAATTTTCAATAATTTTTAAATCAAATTTTTATACAATGTTCTCACAGACAATGTTTGGCTTCACAGAGATTAATTCATAAGTTAGTGATTGCAATACTCTTAATATGCTTCTGAAAATATTGTTTTATAATTGATGTAATAGAATAACTTGTCACCCCCATGAGTGACTACACTAATAGTAGTAACTTCCTATAAGTATCTGTAAGTCAACGGACTACAGAGACTAGCAGGAATATGTTGAGTACGACTCAGACTTATGTGAGAACTACTGATCTTCCAATAATAGCACTCACTACTGGATTGACTTGTGATGACCTTATGCATAACTGTTACCTTTATACTTATTGTACTGGTTTTACAATAAACCTTTACTTATTTTATCCACCTTGTTTTTCAAGTATATATTCCTATTAGCACGGAATATAACAATAATATATTTTGTTCATTTTAAATAAATCATGAACACTATTATTTTAGCAGTTTATGATCCAACTTCACAAATCATTGTATACTTTATCCTTTTTGAATGCACTACAAAATGTATTCTTGTGTTAGACTTAATCAAAACAAATCAATAGATTATATATGTGTGTGTGTGTGTGTGTGTAATTTTAGGATTAATAAAAATAAAATGTCACTTAGCTGATTGATTTAGCATCTTGACTCCAGAGTTTTGTAGACAAACCTTTTTGTAATTGTTCAGTCCACTCTTTAGATTTTCAGAAAGTGACTGCTGTTTTTCTCATTTTTTGTTATTTTTATAGAAAGTTTAATGTAATTAATTTATGTGCAAGTTGGGTGCTCTTATTATTGGTGTTAAGTTTATTTTTGTGTACGTGTGTGTGTGTGCATGTGTGTAGTAGGTGACAAGCTACTGAGTATAGAAACAATTTCTATCTTACTCCCACAAATTCTCATAATTCTGAGTCTTTATTGCTTTTGTTTTCATTTTTTTTATCTTGCTGGAGATCAACAGATCCAGATTTAAGGATGCATAAAAAAAAGTATTGTCTTGAATGCATATTCTATATTTAGTATCTCTTTATTGTTGTTATGAATGCATTTTGACTTTAATAGGTTAAAAAATAACCTGCATGAACTCAATTCATTCATGCCTACATATTTATTTCAGCTGAGCGAAAAAGTTCTCTTGGAAAAGAATGGCATCCAAGTTGTCTTCGGTGTGGCCAGTGTGAAAAGGTTTTAACTCCTGGTCAGCATGCAGAGGTAGGAGCATCTTTCATTTTCATCTCAAATTTGAAAGAAAACTGTATATCATGTAAACAAAAACTGTCCCAAGTGTTTGTATTGTAATAATTAAAGTAGGTAAATTGTATTTAAGAATAATCAAAATATTGTTTGTTAACTTGCATTTTTACTTGAACATCCTCCATGATGTACAAGTTACAAGCTATTCTTGCAAGCCATTGAAAGTCAGTTTGCTCTCTACTCATGCCTGCCTCCAAATATATGAGGGATACTCTGAAATTAATGCCTTCAATTTATTTCCACATAAGCTAAAATACAAGGAGCATGATTGCATCAATTGATAGTGCAAGTTTTTAGCTACAAAATATTTTTTTATGTAGTCACCAACCTTGTCTAAAAATTTTCACTATCAATGAACAATAGTCTATATGCTACATTCATAAAAATCTGCATCAGCATATATCACTGTTGCTGAATCATGGTATCTACTGTCAAACTTTGCTCACATTCACTGTTTGGTCTCTATAAACATTTAGCATGATTGCTCATGACATTAGTTTTATAATGATTATATCAAACAAGTATTATTATAAAGTATATTCTTTGTCTCTGAGAAAACAACCCAAATAAAGCAATGTTTTGTGTTGTGTGTTGCCATGTTAAATATTCTATGATTGTGGCCATAAAATAGTGACCTAATGATTACACATGTATACACTAAAACATATGCACATACATAGTTCTCGCTTATCTACAAGAGTGAGTTATTCTATTTTTAAAAAATGTTAGAATATAATAACAATGATTTTCTGATTATATATTTATACAATTGAATAACTCAAAGGAATATTACTTGAAATACTTTTATAGATTTTGCCCCCCTCCCTCCCTCAAATAAAAAGGTTTTCAGTCCATTGTATTCAAGTCACAGGGTGAAAATAAATGTAGTTATATCCAACAGGTTTTAAAATTAGGCTGAAAAATGTATCAGATAAGATCCTAGATTAGGTCAGCCAATTTCAAGATCCACTGCATAGAATCATTTCAATTACTATTATTTCCACCACAAAAAACTGAATTCATCTTAAAGCATTTTAGTATACATTAAGGTTAATGGAAACCAAAACCATTATCAAATATTCAGGATTTGTAAAGAGTAATTTTGGTGCAATTTAAGTGTTGATACCTTAGCAATAATTTCTTTTTTTTCTTTTTTTTTTTTTAAGTATTGTAAGTGAGTGTCATGATTTTTCTGGATAAAGTGTTGTTACTTGTTTAGCTTAGGCTTAAAGCTTAGGAATTATGCTTAAAAATAGACACATATACTTATGTGTGTTTGTAGGATGTATAATAGTATCTGAAATAAGATGATGAGACAAAGTGGAAATTTTTTTTTATCAAAGAAAGTTTATGTTCCCTTTAGCATCATCAGTTTATGCCAAAGAGAACATAAGCTTTCTCTAGTGAAAAATGTCTTTGATAAGAAAATATTCCTCTTTGCCTCATCTTCACATATAGAATTATGCAGTTTTTCATGCTTATAATAATTGACTGATTGAATGAATTATAAAAATTATGATTATAGCTATTCTGTTTTTTTATATCAAGTTCTGCATTTCTCTCTACTCAAATGTGTATATATATTTATCACAAATCTGATGGGAATATATAGTGAATACTTATATTGCTGTCTATTTGATTCAGATTTAAGATTTTTTTTTTTTTTAACTCAAATCTTGTAATATTTTCTTTGACTCTTGTCAAATATATGAAAAGACAAATAATGCTTTAACTTTGGGAATCTAATCTGCTATAGATTAGAGAAGGTTTTTAAATAAGGAAGTTTAAGACTTTCTCTTAATTATAACAGGAGCAAATTTCTAATAGGAAGAATTTATACTGATTTTATAATTAACAGTTTAGGATTTTTTAAATCACCTTTCTTTTTCCAAAACCATTATTTAGCAGTTTGCTTAACAAAAAGTAGAAAAATGTTTTAGTTTTGTGTGTGTGCATAAGTATATTTGTGTGTTAGTATTAAAATTTAAATGAGAAAATTGACTGTAGTCTTTCAATTTATTTTGCAGCATAAAGGCCATCCTTACTGCAATAAATGCTATCAGGCCTTATTTGGCCCACAGATGTTTGGCTATGGATCAAATGTATTTTCACAAGCTAACTACCGGAGAAATCAGGCAGTTCCCATCAAAGATAAAGCAACAAAGGATCCACCAACGTTGCGGAAGAGGTAAGTTATTTTATCCAATGGTAATATTCTCAATGAATGCCAATAATCCATACTAACAGAAATAAAAATGTTTTTTTTAAAGTTGTTCATCATATATCATTGTTTTATATATGTGTAAAATGTGTTATATTTATGGAGGAAGAGTGCTTAATAGCAGCAATAGAGCATTTGTAGCTAGAGATAGTATAGACATAGAAACCAACACTGTATGGCCTGAACATTGCTTGAGGCAGGAAACTGACAGTCATCATGCAGTGTTGATGCCTATGTTCACACTCTCTCTCAAATGTACATATATTTTTAAGCAAATTGTTTAATACAAAATAAGGAGAGAATTATCCATAAAATTCCTAAAGTTATAGGAATAATTAATCAAATTCAAAACATTTCTTAAAATAAAATACACAATAAAATAAAACGAATTTATTTTGTTAAATACATATCTCCAATTTTTCTGAAGTATTACAACAATAATAATAATATAGGTGATGATTTTGATCAGTTCTGCTACATTGTGGCAAAGAACATTTTACATTAGGTGACTATTTGGGGTTTAAGAAATTCTAAGACATTTTCCTTCATTTAAAAGACTTCTTCAAAGTAGAATTATTTTTTACTTTAAATTCATAAGAGTTCATAGATTTTAAAGATTGTAAAGACCATCTTTGTTATTCCTATTAAATTTATTTTTCAGTGATTAGCTTCAGCTTGTTTGTGTGTGTGTGTGTATATAATACATTACATTTATACCTTATCAAATACAGATTTGATAGTCTAATATGTTATTGTTGGCGTCAACTGAAAATTATTTGCCTAACTATGTTTTTTCTAGAGATTAGTCACAATGTATTTGAAAAATTACAGTATGTGTTGGAATCATTCATAAGAAAATGATTTAAAATTAGAACAAAGGCTGGGATGGAAGATATAGAAATATTCATAAAAAAAAACTTAAGTTATGGCCAGTTTTCTGGAATGAGAAGTTCTGATATCAGTAAAAAAAACAAAATGATAATTTTATCTTTATAATATCAAAATAAAATTCTCACTTTGTACCTATGAGTGGCATTATTGGTTATTTTCTAACTTCTCTCTTTCCAACTATTGTATTGACTCCTTTCATATACTAGCAAGATGTTGAATTTAAAAAATAAACTGTACTTATTACAGATACAGGATTATATTGAGCTTTTTTTTAATAAACAAATAATTTTGAAATTGCCATAGACCTGCCATTTATATTCATTGTAGTTGTTCCAGTACAACTTTGTATATCATCATTAATAAAAGTTGTACAGGAACTTTGTTTCCAGCCCTATCTCTCTCTCTCTCTCTCTCTCTCTCTATATATATATATATATATATATAGAGTGTGTGTGTGTGTGTAATACACATTCTGTATATGACATTAAGCTGCAGTTCCTAGTTCTGAGAGTGTAGTGTCACACCTTACTTGCCATTACTCTCAGGTCCATTCTGACCCACAGTGATAGTACCTGTTAGGGACCCATCTATATCTGTCTATGGAAAACCATGTATTTGATCTGCTTATTTTACTAATATAAAATCTGAAACTTCTACTTCTTAGTTAAATGCTGTCATTTTTCAGAGAGTGTGATCGATTCCATGAAAGGCTTCTCTTCACAAATCTTCAAGCACAGATGTTGCTTGTTAAAAGTATTGTCACTAGAAGATCTTTGTATTTTAAATCAATGGCTGGGTGTAGCTGAAAAAGTCATTCAAGCAAAAATGAAAATTGATAACAATGTGTGAGAGAGTATTAGTTTCTGACTGGACTCAAAGGCCACATTCAGCCTGCGTGCAGGTGAGATTGTGGAAGGAGGTGATATTAAACAATGGCTGTACTTGGAAATGAAAAAGCAGCCGTGTGTATAGGTGGGTGTTTGTAATTTAAATGTTGCTGTAAGATTTTGACTGTAGCAGGAACCTAAATTTGAATGTAGAATAGCTACTATTTAATATTCAGTAAGACAATCTACATCTAACAATGAAGCTAGTTCAGTTTATATAATGTCTTGTAAATTCTTTTTGTTTTTATCAAAGTATTATGATAAAAATAAGTAAAAACAATCATTTTTAACTGTTAAACTAAACTGTGTATTAAAAATAAATGTAAACTCAAATATTTGTTCTATATCTTGATGTCAGAAGCTCATCTATCATAGATGATGTGTTAACTAATTTAGGCTACCAAAGTTGTCATATTTAGACAAGGTACACATTTGTATATAAACAGTCAGCCCTAGTTCACCCCTGAATGTATTGCAGCCATAACTCACAGAAACCATTACTTCAAGTGCAACCACTGCAAAAAATTCTAAAAAATGCCAAGTGCAGCTATGCACAAGCAGTCTAGACCAAGGATGAAAAGAAACAAATTGGATCCCATGAATTCCAACCAAATCATGAACAGAGGTAAAACAGCTGTGCCCACAATTATAAATGGCCCCGAGGTCATATCCTCCTTGACAGACAAGACTAATCACTTCACCGTGATATTTGCCTTTAATTCCGAGTTAGATGACAAAGACCATACTCTCCCCAACTTCCCACATCTTACTGAGCACAATCTCAGTAATATTACCATTACAGCATGAGAAGTCTGTAGACTTATCAAAGGCCTTGATCCTAAGAAAGCCACTGGCCCTGACAAAATTCCAGTGGTTGTCCTTAATAATATCAACCTGGAATTATCCCCAATCCTAGTGAAGTTATTCAACTACTGCTTGAGGAGAAATCCTTCCCAAACCTGTGGAAGGTGTCAAGTATATGCCTGGTTTTCAAGAACATGGGCATTCAATCTTCTCCTTCCCAGTACAGGCCCATCAGTCTCCTCAGTATCATCATAAGCTTTTTGAGGTCATAATCAATAAGAAAGTCATAGAGCACCTAGAAAAGAACAACCTCTTCAGCAATGAGCAGTATGGGTTTTGATCTCAAAGGCCTTCAATGAGATGTGGTACAAAGGTTTACTATACAAGCTCTCCAGTTATGGAATCACTGGAAGGGTCTTTTCTATTATAAAATCTTTCCTATCAGATAAGAATATACTCAGATCATTTGCAAACATCTATGCCAATAATACAACTATATATAAGCACATCTCTAAAACTCTCAATGGTCAGATATTGGTGACTGATCTCTTTTCTGATCTTGCACAAACTACACAATGGGGTAAAAACTGGCTGGTTACATTCAATACCTTGAGGACCAAGCTAATTACATTCCATCACCACTGATCTGACCCTGAACTACCACCAATCAGGATGAACAGATGCCCTCTCAGGGAAGCACCATGCCTTGAAAGACTATTAGACTTCAAACTCACACCTGACATCAATTGGAACTCTTACATACAATCCATTGCTAAGGATGCAGATAAAATGCTTGGCTCTCTGTACCACCCCAGTAAGTACCTGAATTTGTATATTCATATATGCTGAGAGAAAACCAAAAAGTTAGGTATTGGAGAATATCAGCTCTTCAGAAGTTGACATAAGGGGTTGCCCAGTCACTATCCTGAGGGAACATTGAATATGTCAGGTGACATAATATTTAGATAATATTTAGATTAGACAAGTCTTCAATAGAAAATTTTACATATGGCTTAAATAAAGCATATGTTTGGGATCTTGAACATGTAGAGAGCAAGTTTAAAATTCTGCAGTAAATAAAAATCTTACTTTTCTCAACATAGCAGATTTCAGTCCACCAAGATTGTTTATTAATATTTTATAAGTACTAAATATATAAAGAGAAAGCTGATAAAAAATACCCTTTGCCTATGGCTGATATGGAACTAAACAAAGAGGCTTTCAAGTCTTACAAATAACATGAAGTGCCAAAACACTGGTCACCACATTTTGAACACAAGATAATACGACATCCATCAACAATGCAGTTTTCAGTTTAAATTATAATTGTTCAATCTGTTCAAGGAGGTGCCAAAAAGTTTTTGAATTGAACACTTCCAGAAATTGAACCAAATAACCAAACATCACATTTTCTTTGTGTTTTAAGTCCTTCTTGACTCGGCTGAGAACCTTTTCAGCACCCTCTCATACATATTTATCATTAGATGTAATCTTAATAATCTCAAAATAATATATTAAATTATTGATTTGTTTAGCATAAAGTTCTAAAACAGACATATTTTACATAATGATATAACTGTTTTTTATTATAGATATGTTCTTCAAATTTTGCTGGCACCATTTTATTTTAACCTCACTCTAAATAATCCTTCCAATACTTCATTATGTGGGAAGGTAGGAAGCAGCAAGGATGCTTAAGCGATATTAATGTATGAGTAAAACTCATTCAGGCATTTATGTATTCTTAGTTTTAAATGAAGTTCTTCAACATATAATGCTTTTATATATTTTTATTTCAATATGCAATTTACCTATTGGGTATCAAAAGATGCATAAGAATCTAATGTTATTATTACCATTTATATTAAACAATATTTGTTTTTAATGGGGACAAAATATTAAAATGCAAATGCTTTTTTGGTGTATTTGCTTCATCAATATTAGTTCTGAGGAGTTGAAAGTGTTACTCAGTTTATTTTACATATACTTACATACACACAAAAATAAACTATAGTCCTGAGAAAATTCTGTATTGCTTTAACAACCAAGATTATTGGTCAGAAGATATAACACCTAATAACAGCCAATGTTATGCTGAGCAAGTTTTAGATATGATATATAACCAAAACATTGCAAACATGACCCTTGTCCAAGTCTTCTATCAACTGGTCAATGATTGCCCTCTGTTGCATTTTGATTCTCAATCTCATCCGTATGTACCAAAAGCTGGGAAAGGGTGTAATGCATGTTCACAAGGTAACATGATGAAAGGCAAACACTACATCGAGGAATAAGAACATGAACACTGTTTCTCATATTATAAAATAAATGTTGTATTCAGGGCTTCACCTCTCATTTGGGTGGGTAGGTAAGTGATACTTGCGA